GAAGGAGGCAGCAAGGGGGGGGGGAGCAGGAGCCGGTTCCCCCCAGCACTGTCTCTGTGGGGGGTAGGGGGGTAGGAGAGCTAATCCCACTGGGCTTATCGATTTGCTGATGGAAAATCCATCGACTAGTCGATTAGCAGATGCAACAAAATGTAATGTCCCTAGCTGGGAAAAGGTGATCCAGAGCGGACTGGTGTGGGTCCCAGGCTCCCGAGGGGGGGGGGAGCAGGAGCCGGTTCCCCCCAGCACTGTCTCTGTGGGGGGTAGGGGGGTAGGAGAGCTAATCCCACTGGGCTTATCGATTTGCTGATGGAAAATCCATCGACTAGTCGATTAGCAGATGCAACAAAATGTAATGTCCCTAGCTGGGAAAAGGTGATCCAGAGCGGACTGGTGTGGGTCCCAGGCTCCCGAGGACCCAGGTTCAAATCTGCCTTTGGAGGCATTCAGCAGGGAAAAGTCTGTTTCTTCTAACCCGTGTTAGGAGATGGTCTTAAGAGACCAAGCCCAATATTTTTTCCTCTCCCGAACAGCTCAGGGAACACGAGAAGGGAGGGAAGTTGGAAATAAACAAGAGTCCATTAAAAACGTTCGATCCCCGCCCCCCCACACATCTGCTCCATCTTGTTGCTGACGCCTGCTCTCAATCCTGCCTTTGAGAGGTCACTGTATTTTTAGGCCTAAGGCGATTAGAGGATTTTCCGCTGGGCAGCGAGGCCCTGCGGTGTCCGCAGCCCACAGAAATCGCACCGTGGGTCACCGCAGCCAGTCCCCCGGGGCCCAGGGGAAAGCTTCGCCCCAGCCCACCTCGCTCGGCCGTGCGCTCGGGGAACTTTCGCCCCTGTGCGCTCGGAGGGGGGGGACAGTTGGTCTGCACGCGGCTCTGCCGCGGGCACTGGCCCGGGCAGGACTGCTGTGCGGATTAGGGGAGCTTAGATCTGGCAACATCTGTTGAGGGCCCGAGGCTTGTTCTTTCGAGACACGAAAGGGCCGGCAAGAGCAGCGTGTGGGCTGTGGCTCCCCTGCGCCCGCGGCTGGCAGCTCTGACGTCACACCGCGCTCGTGTGCCGTTAGCAAGGCACCTGGGAGGGATCCTGGCACAGCTGATACCCCAGCTGTTCGGGAGAGGCCTCCTCGCACCGGGGCCCAGGCCGGCTGTGTGGCTCTGTCCGGGCAGGAGGGGGTACCTTCCAGCGGGGCTCAGCAAAGCCTTGGCAGGCCCCCACCGCCTACGGCCGCCCGGCCCCCAACCGCCAACGGGGCCCTGGCGAACGCGGGCAGGGGCCTGGCTCCCGTACAAACCTGAGTCAATGCAGTAATCCCTGGGTTCCTGCTTAATGCCCATCGGCGACTGGTAGCCATGCCGCGGGGGGCCGGGCACGCCCGGGGCCCCGGTCGGGGTACTCCTGTTTGAATCCCTGAGGCGGGTGGGGAGCGGCCGGGACTATCGGCTCAGACATCTGCCTGTGGTAGACGGGGCGACTGTCCCCAGCAAGGCCCGGCGGAGGAGGGAACGGGTGGCAGGGCTCCGACAGCTGTCTCTGAAACCTGGAGGGGAGAGAGAAGGGGGGGGTGTCACTGTACGGCGAAACCACCCATCCCCCACTCCGCTGAGGCCTCCCTCTCTCTTTATCCCACCACGTCCCTCACCCCCCGCCCCCGTTTGCAAGGCCCCAGGGACCCTCCAGGGGACAGTCATTAACCGGAGGCTCCAGGCTTGTCACGCGCCCAGGAGGAGACAAAAGCAGCTGCCAGGAGGGCCCGGGGGCTTTGGCCCGTGGCAGACCCAGGCAGGAGTCTTGGGGAGACGTGGGGGGAGGGGGCAGGGGCTGACCCCTCCAACATCCAGCCAGCCCCCAAGAGCGCCACTCCCCAGGCAGGGCGACGGCTCAGGAGGTCTAGTCTGTGCCACGGCTTCCCGGGCACTGCCCCATGAGCCCACCCTGTGCCAGCGCAGCTTGGCCCCTGCCTACGCCTGGCTGCTCAGTGAGCCACCGCCACAGGGCTGGGGACCGCGCGGGGCGCCACCCCCCCC